TGCCATAAAACACAATGGTTGTTCTACAGAATGGTTGAGCGAAATAATAATATTTTTCGCTCGTCAAAAAGTTAAATCCTGAAAAATTTAGATTTTTTAAATAGTGTAATAACAGAAGTTGCTTTTGTCTATGTTCCAAAAAGGCGTTTCTTGGCCAAAAAGTAGTTATTTCACTCTTGACAAAAATTGCCGCTTATAGTATAATTAAATCCAGTTTTCTCAAACAAAAGTGTGTTCACAGAATTCATCAGTGTACTATTAGCGAATTGAGTTATACAACAATTTTTGCACGCTCAGTGTAGACGTAGCGAGAATGCTGGAGGCGAAAAATGTCTCTTGTTGAAATGCGGGCAGGGGCCATTTTTTTCTAGATATTGAAAATATTCTCTGAATGTTTTGGTTGTCGGGCTATCATTTGTCTGCTTATTTTTTGTCGGCTAAGTTTTCTCAGCATTTCTGGTTTAAGCAATGTTGTTCATAATTGAAATTTGGTTTGGTTTATTTTTGGTTTGGTTGTTTTGTTGAATAAATTCTTTTGAATCGTTTGGGCTGATCGTATGAATATTATGGGTTGATCGCAGGGGCGAATTTATGGGAGAGGCCCCCTCTTTAGTGCTATTTTAAGAAATCCATATTTGGATGAGCGACCCATAATTTTTTTCCAAAGGCTCCTTAGACGCCAATGTATACTAATTTTGAATAGGGGTTGCGCTCAAAAACCCATTTTTTGTTAAAAAAATTTCCTTGAGTGCCTAAAAACTTTTTTTTGGCCTATTTTTTAAAAAAAATTTGCCTGTGGCACTGAAAATTTGGTCGAAATGGGGTCTTTCTACTGTTCAGGGAGAGCTCAATTTGCCGACATACAAAAAAGGTCGATAAAGTTTTTGATTCTTTTTTGAAAATGTTGCAGTTTTTCAATTAGTCATTTAAAATATTTATACTTTGTATAGCCCGGTGTGTGGAATATTCCTTTTATAAAATCTTTAAAAAGATTTCAGATTCTGCTGCTTTCAAATTTTGCTGCTAAGAAAAATAGCCAAAAATTTGCATGTAAATCTTAACCAGGGGCACAACAGCGGATCTCCATGAAGAGCTGAACAGCTCTTATGTTGGTCCTTTCCCCCTTATGGATAAATTGTCTTAACACTTCGGTCGCATGTTTTGCTTTTTTGTATTCCTTAAATTGGCAGAATGAGACCAGCAGATTGTTCGCTATGGGATTAACTTTTGGGGAAATTGGGAGAAATTGGACTCCGTTTTCCTAAATTTATAGTTTTTTTAATAGTTACTGTCATTCTCTGATGGATATTTAGATTTTGTGTGCCAAGTGTTGTTTTCGGTGTGATAGTTATGTTCGAAAGTTTATCCTTACATTGAACGCAAATTAGTTACGGTTTTCATTAGCTTCTGGTTGATAATAAGTATCATTTTGCGTTTCCAGTTTCTCCGAAGTTTTTGCATCAAATTTAAAGCAACCGATTTTTTATTCTCAATTTTCTATCGTGCTTCCATTTCTGACGGGCTTTTCACTGCGTACTGTCTATCCCGGGTTTTTGATTGAGAATGAATTACTCGGGCATATTTTTTTGAAGAATTTAAATTCCGAGAATCAAAAGTTGCTTAGAGGAGCTTCGGACTTGTTTGTTTTCCGTGCCATCCAGGTTTGTTTTCCGTGCCATCCAGGTGCCACAGATAAATGAAAATTGAGATCGTGTGAAAAACCATAAAAACGCCATTTCAGTCTAAAAGTTTTTTAGGTAATTGTGAAAAGGATCCCGATAAATGATCATTGAGGTTTTTGTTTTCAACTTTAAGATAAATTAGATTGAGAAACCTTTTCAAAGAGCAGCTGTTGGATAAAAAATAACTTGCACGGTTTTTTCGCCTCATTTTTTTTGCGGTGAAAGACAAGGAGACTTGTGAACTTCATGACTAGCTAAACAAATGAAATGAATTCAAATAGGTTAATTGAAGAAATGAGGCGGTACACGAATATTCTTAGTTTGCTTGCCCTCAAATCGAACCTAAAAAAGACTCAGTGAAGTCATAATTAAGTATTCATTGTTCGGCTAGAATTTTTTTTCTAATTGGTTGTTTTGCTTCTGCTTTGTTTGTTTTGCTGTCTCTCATAATTGCCTATTAAATTCACTGTCTGGATCAAACCCGTCTACTTGTTCATCACCTTTTTTTTTCTAAACTAGGGCAGTGGTCGGAGCATTTTGTGCTGCTTGCAATCTCACCAGCTCTTAACATTTTGCTTAAAACAAAAGCTTGTGTTATTTAAGCTGCCTTTTTTCCTAAATGCAATTCCCACAAATTTTTGCAGAGTTTTTGTGCAATGGTTTCGCAATGAAATAAGTTAGTATAAATATTTGCAAAGTTCTTCTTTTTCATTTAATGCGCAGTTTTCGCGTTGTTATTTAAGCAGCGTGCTTAGCTTCACTCGTCTAGTTTTTGACTCAGCTTGCATGAGCTGGATCCACTCAATTGAAGCGTTTCTAATGCTGCAGGTTTTTGCGGGTCTGGCAGCTCTCATGACTGATTACCGCAACTGAGTATGTTTAGCACTTTTTTCCTGTACAGAACGTTTTTTTACCTGAATTAGCACGTACTGCATTAGACTTTACTGCATTTTGGTTATCGACATTGTGAATGCCATTTCTAGAGAATAGTGGAAGAAATCGACATACAAGACTTCAGGATTTTTTTCTAAAATTCAAAATACAAAAAGTTAATTTTTTTTTCAAAAGAATGCATCCAATTTTTATCCATGCGATTATCGAGCGTTATCAAATTGAAACATTAAAAATGTCTAAAAGAATCTGTGCATCTTTTTCTCGAATCGTTCGTCAACCAACATACATTCAATCGAAGTTGTGTTAATCGAAATTTATGCTTACGCTTGCGATTAGCAAGCGTTATCAAATCGGAGAATATACTTTTTTTTGGGTTTAACGACTTGTTTAACAGAAACAATTGGTAATTTGATTCATAATGCATTCAAATTTCTACGCGTCTCTGGTACCCTTAGTCTGGAGGCAACGATTATGCCTGGGGTCGGCAAAGGTCCTGGGTTCCAATCCAGCCAGGATCTTTTTTTCACACAGAAAATTCTCTGTTTAAAAAAATTGTCGGCTTTTATTTGTGTTTTTATGTTTTGTCGGCTTAGTTGCCACATCTTAGATTTTTCTGCTGTATGAAGTTTTCATTGTAGTTACTTTTATGCTTTCATTTACTTCTGCAGTTTGAATTCTACTTACCTTGACTCCGTATAATTTTTTTTTTCGCTTAAAAAGTTATTCGGTCGAAATGATTTCGGCTTATCTTTTATCGGCTTTTTCTGCTAATTTTGGGTCGTTTAGAGGAACCATAATTTATTTGTTTTTCTCCCGGCTGCAGCATACGTTAAAAATCTGAGTAGAATTTATAGTTCAAAAGCTTTTCATGACATCAATTTTTTTTTCGCTCAAAAATTATTTTTTGAATTTTCATTAAACGCCGCCGAATGTGTTTCTGGACGTGTTTTCCGCAAATAGAACACGATTCCAGATAACATTTTGAAGTTTCTTAATTGTGGTTTTTTCGAAAATGTTTCCATTTCCTCTGGACTAAGTGGTCTTTTTTCCTATTTTTACTATCGTTAATTCGGTTTAGTTTCTGTTTTTTTTTTGCTTTTGTGGTTTACTTGGCCCAAAAGCTATAGGTTTATAGCAAATCGGCCTAATGGCCTCATATTGCGTCGCTTCATGAGCGAAACACATTTCTAATAGGTGTGAGTCTTTTGAGAGCACTCATTAGTTTTTTAGTTTGGTAAGTTTTTTGAAAACAGTTTTTGCTCTACGGGTGTTTTCTTTTGAATTCTCCAGTTCGTTAATGCTTTTTATGTTTTGTTTTGAAACTAATTTAACCTTCAATTGACTTCTTTGGGATTTCTTTTTCTCAAAATGAACTTAATTCGAGACCATTCGAGACAAAGATATGAAAGTTTTGGTAGATCGTTTATTTGATTTTTTTTACCTGCGGCTTTCGTCTAATTTTCTGTCTGCTAGTTGTGTCATGCTATGTTTGTGTCTTATTACTAGTGATGCAAAGCTCTGCTTCGCCTGTGGTATTAGTTATCGCCTAGCCTTTATATATATTTTTTTCTAATGAAAATGCGATATCAAATCAATTTATTTCATTAGGTTAATTGTTCAGTTGGTTTATAGATGAAAAGCAATGATTTGTGTGATTTTCCATAAATGAATTATATATTAATCTTTTTCTGCTTATTTCCTTGATCTTTCGATATATTTTTTATTGATCATTTGCCCACAAGATTTACCATTTGAATCAAATCAAAGTTGCATTTTCCCGATTTATCTAGAAATTAATTTTCACTGAGAGCGATATTTTCCAATTATTTTTGTTTTGCTTGAATTGGCACTGCCTCTTACCAGTGTTGTTGAATGTTTGAGTACAATGGAGTTGTCTGTTTGTATGGTGATTTTTTGTGGAAACTTATCTCTAATTTTGCTTTGGAAGCCTTTATTGGTGCGTTCAATCGGTTATTTGTAATTAAGTATAGAATTAAATAGCAACATCTCAAATTCACAAATTGGCACAAAGTATAACGTCGTATGGGTATCATATTGGAGTCTCTTCAGTTGTGGTTTTAGAACTTCCCATTTGAGACTGATGCCATTGTTTGTTCAATTTTATTAAGTAAAGAGACATAAGTTTTATTTTTTAAAGTGAAGTCAGCCATTAGAAATTAGATCACGAAATTGGAAATTTAGTGTAGAGTTTTTTTTCTTAATGCAAATAGAAGTCGGAACAATCTGTACAACATGCGCAGCAGCAGGTTAATCTCATTTTTTACTGGATTATTTTCTTGTTTTAGTATGTCGATTAAATCTGTCGAATAAGCCCTTATTTGACACTAGTATTTTTTTTTATTGTTTATCATAGTATGGTGAATTTTTGCCAAAATTTTTAAACAAACAGAAATCTAACTTCAGATTAGTTGATGACATGACAGAAGAAATGGATGACAATAGAAATAACCAAACAGAAATGGCCAGTAGCGAACCTGAGAACCCGTTTGCTAGTTTGTTCTTTGGCACAATACCGGTGGCACCTATCGAGAAAACAAGCGATGATATCTCGAATCAGCAAGTTTTGGAACCAAATGAGGTGCAATTAGCCGACGGTGTAGATGAGCAGACAGGAACAAAAGATGATTATCTGTTTGATGAAATGGTCCAAAGTGTGTTTCTCTTCACTGTTAACGAGTGTCAACAGACAACAACAGGTGAGTTTTTTTAACGAAAACTTGCTTTTAAAGGGTTATCTTATATTAAATTGAATTTTGTGTTTTGCTATCTTGGTTTTCGAACGCTGCATTTATGTCGTCCAAAAAAAATTAAATTGCCAAAACATCAACTTGGGTTCATAACGTAGATGTAACAATCTGATAAACTATTAATTTTAAAATTCACAAACTTGTCGTGTTTCTATCAAAGAGCAGTGTGCAATCAACTTAATTGACCATCGTTATGATGCGGATCTTCTAGTATAATTCAAAGATGAGATAAATAGCTCGACCTTTTTTATTACCTTTGCGAAAACAAGTGAAGGCGAACTAGACTTTTACCGTAACCAACTTTTTTTTACACATTTCTAAGAAATTGTGAAGTCGCTTTATTAGTGAACCTTAGCAACTTGGAGACATTTTCCCACATAGTCCAGAGGTAACGCGGATGCTTTTGTGCCCCAAGGTCTGGAGTTCGATCCCGGCTAGACTTTTTTTTCCCCAGTATGTATGAAATTGAAAAATAATTTTCCGGGAAAAATTGAATTGTCGGACTTGCGTTTGTCTGCTTATGTTCCGTCGGCTTAGTTGCCACATCGGGGAAATTTCTTGTGGTGTTAGTAATTTTCATGGTAGTTGCGAGGGTTTTTCGGTTTACTCCTGTCATTTGTAAAATTATACCACTTCGTATATTTTTGTTTGGTCTGCCTTTTTCTTTTTTTTTCGCTTAAAAGCTTCATTCCGTCAAAATGGTTTCGGCTTATCATTTAGCGGCTTAGTTACGTTATTTTTAGTCGCTTCAAAGGCAAATTTTTCTTAGCAAGATTTCAAAGTATTAAAAGTTAGTTGCTCAAAATTTTTTGTGACTACAAAATTTACGTCATTTTGTTTTCGGCTTAATCGGCGTCTATCTACTTGTTGTCGGCTTAGGTGCCGCTTGGTAAAAACTGAAAGGTTTTTTAATACTGGTGGTTGTGTTTTTTATTTTGTTATTTCTGTTTCATTTTCTATTAGATAGCTTGCAGCGCTGCGCTTGCGTTGTATCGCAAGTGATGCGAAGCTCTGCTTCGCCCCTGTGTAAAATAGAGTCAGGTGATGTTTTAAAGTTAGCTCATGCAGCAGTTTTATATGAAAACGATGAAACTGTACCACTTGAATGTTTTGAATTGAAACACCCACCCAGCTTAATATTAAATTTTGGAACAATAAAGTGGGCTTTCTTAAAAAAGTTAGTATGACATGTTTGAATCAATGGGGATTGATAGGGGGTAGGTTTGGGTTCAGGAGTGGGTTTTAATGAAGGGTAAACTATTATTTGCTTGATTCTGTTTAAACAGGCGAAACAGATGTGAAGGTGCTGCTCAACCAGCTGAGGGAAAAACTGAGTCGGCAATTGGGAGATGACAAGGTGCTGTACATAGAAGAGGGACATCTGGAAGAGGCAATCTTTGAGCGGCTGCTCTTACAAGACGCCAATGAACATATCACACCTGTTAGTGTGTTGTTCCATCAAGTTCAGTGACATTTTATTTGGCTGTTGGTAAAACATAATTGGCCCGTTTTTAGTTAAACACCAAGTTCGAAGGAAAATGTTAGAAAGCTTCTTACGATAAAGAAGTATTGTCAAATCGGAATATATGTTTGTATCTATGTAAATAATATTTCTAACAGAATCATAGAACTTGCAAAAAGTTATTTGTTTGATTACACTAGGGTCAGCTTAGTGGGTTATTAAGAACATTCTTTGTTTTCTAACCTTAGTCGCAAATAATGGTGCCTTTTTTGGGACACCTTTACATTTTTTTAATAGTACGTGCTTAACATAATTGATGCATTTTTACTTCATCAAATGAACCAAAAAAAGCTATTTGTTTCGAACAACTTTACAATAATAAAAATTCAATTTAAGTATTTTTCTACCTCAATAGATCTCGCAATTTTTCCAAATGCGTAATTTGTACACAGTGTGGTTTTATGCTTTGCGATTTGTTACATGCAAAGTTAGTTTGGATGCCTTCAGTTTGTTATATTCTTCAGATTGTTAAATTATTACTTGAAAAATTAAGTCTTTTTCTATTTGGTTCTACCTTTGCTGAATTGCATTGGCAATTTATTAGCACATTGAGCTGCTTTATTCGTGATAAGGTTTGTCGGTGGTTAAGCGTGCGTGGCTGAATGGATAGAGCGTGAGATTCGAAATCTCTTGATAGCAGCAGGTCGCGGATCGAATCCCAGACCTAGCTGAATTCTTGCTAATTCAAGGCTTATTTTTATTTGTTCTTAGTGTACTTTCTAGAGGTGCTTTTTGACGTCTTCTCGCTACTTTTTGCGAAGTGAAGCTTCGCCTCTGTGTTCAATTTGGCTTTCTGTCGGCTTTCGCATCAAAAATTTCAACAAAACTTATCAATTACCTTTTAGAAACTGAATTTGAAATCTGCATCAGACTTTCAATTGAAGTATTATGCCTCATAATATTCTTAATTTTGTTCTGACCATTGAAAATGAGGAAGAACTTTGTATTTGGGTGTTTAAATTTTTTCTTCGTTTTTGTTTTCCAAGCAACCGGCTTTGCTTGTATCATTTTTAATTGTTATCTAGTCTGCCTAAATGGTTTCTTGAAATTTGTCCGCTTATTTTAGTCAATAAAACTTTGTCCATTCTTTAAGAGTAATGAACTTAGTGAATACTTTTATATAGGTCTTGCTGTGTTTTTTTCAGGAAAAGTCATAAAAGTCACCATTAACTACAGATGTGCATTCATACATTTTGATGCATTTATGAATGTATTTAGGTATATATGCACTTTTTGAGTCCAATTGAAGTTCATCTGCTGAAAGTGACGTGAATAGCGCTCTCCAAAAACGAACGTGGTAATGGTGCAAAAAAAACGTGAAAGATTTCTAGTTTCGAAAGTGGAATTTATTTGATACGTTTCCAGCGGAATGAAAACTTTACCCTTTTCTCTAGTGTGATTCATGTTATCAAAAAAGCACCAATCATAAATTGTTCTAGTTTGCATGGTTTTAATTGAACGCAAGGGATATGAGGAGAAGCTCTGCATGAGTGGTTATGCCAATTTTTTGGCACGAAAAGTTATGACCCTCGGAAAAGTCAGATTTTTTGATTTTTTAACCGTTTTTTCATCGAGGTAGGGCGTTCGATTCGATTCCCGAACATATTAGTAAAAAAAAAACATTTTTTCTTTGTTTACTCAATAAGCAAGGGTATTGCTGCCGGGTACTGTACTTTTTGCCCGTTAATAATTTTCTCCACAGAACCAATCTTATGGACGCCTCTGTTGGTAACACACTCACTGCAACAGACAGAGGACTCATCCTATTTTAAATTCCTGCATTTTAAATTCCTTCCTATTTGAGTTTTAGTTCGGTGTAAATATAAAACTCAATTTTTCTTTTTTTACATGCTATTTTTTGGGTTATGGGCTTCGGGTTATTTTATATTGATTTGGTGGCATCCTGTTGCCTCTTTTGATCCGCGAAAATTTTTTTGTATGTGTATGTTTTGAGAGTAGGAGGATTTGAAAATATAGGTCTTGCTGATTTTTTTTTTCAGGAAAGAGTCTTAAAATATTGATACAATGCATTTTTTTGAGTTCAATTGAAATTCTTCTGCTGAAAGTGACGTAAATATCACTCTCGAAATACGAACGTGGAAATGGCGCAAAAAAACGGAATTTTTTGGAAATGGAATTTATTTTGAAGATTTCCCAGCGGAATAAAAACTTTACCGATTGATCCAGTTTTCTCAAGTTGGGTTTATGTTATCAAAAAAGCGTCAATCATAAATTGTTCTAGAAATTCAAAGAGCTTAAGGGACATCTATTTTTTTCTTTGAAATTCAAAAGTTGAGATTTTAAGAAAGTCAGTTTTTTTATGTTTACTTGTGTTCATTACTCTTTTTCAATCTTCGATTGGCTATGTTATGAATATATCTTTCGCTCGATTTCAGGAAATGTTTTTTTTCTAATGTAATTTTTTTGACTCAAAACCTCTGTTTTCACAAATTTTCAGTGAAAGTTATAAGAATCAAATTATTTTTTTTGTCAATTTGAGTTGATTCGGGTTTTTAAATACTAATTGACTTCATTGGTGGCGAAGTTCATTGATGCTGAGGTCCACGAAACCGCTGACCAACTGTTTCAAATTGATGGAAGCTAATTAATGAAAATCTGTCGTTAATAGTTGCAAAAGGTATATTACTGCACTTGAGGTTCTGTGTGTGTGTGTGCGTGCGTGCACACAATTTTTGCCATTTTGCAGGTAATTCAAGTAAAATATTAATTGGTGATACAATAGTAAATGGAGTGAACACATTTTTTTGAACAAAGAAGATTTGGATAAGCTCGCTAGTAGTCGGATTTGTTCACCAAAGTTATGCACGAGGCAAAACGCATTGACAAACGATCAATCTTTATGTTTGCGGACTAGAACTATCATTAAACATTTAAATTTCATCGAAAATTATCCGGATTTTATCAAAAACCTTTTAAAGGGCAATTTGGACAATTATCATCTTATTTTCCATCATACGACAATTATGTTTTGGATTGCTTGGATTTTTTCATTCACATTTTAGAATTTAATTTGAATTTATTTTCTAGGAAAAAGACTTCGAAATTACCAAAAAAAAATATCTTTATATTCAATAGAACAAGATATACTTCACGACTGTTCTGCTTTCGGAGGCATCCCTCGGCAGTTTTCTTTAAAAATCTCTAGGATGCACTCTCAAACTTATTTTTCCAAAAAACGGCTACATGCACCTCATTTGGTTCCAAAACTTGCTGATTCGAGATATCATCGCTTGTTTTCTCGATAGGTGCCACCGGTATTGTGCCAAAGAACAAACTAGCAATCGGGTTCTCAGGTTCGCTGCGGGCCATTTCTGTTTGGTTATTTCTATTGCCATCCATTTCTTCTGTCATGTCATCAACTAATCTGAAGTTAGATTTCCAGTTGTTTAAAAATGTTGGCAAAAAATTCACCATACTATGATAAACAATAAAAAAATATACTAGTGTCAAATAAGGGCTTATGTTACAGATTTAATCGACATACTAAACAAACAAAAAAATAATCAAGCGAAACATGAAATTAACCTGCTGCTGCGCAAGTAGTACAGATTGTTCCGACTTACATTTGCAATAAAATAAAAAACTATGCGTTAAATTTCTAATTTCGTGATCTAATTTCTAATGGCTCAAATGATGGGAAGTGCTAAAATCACAACTGAAGAGCATCCAATTTGATACCCATACGACGTTATACTTTGTGCCAATTTGTGAGTTTGAGATGTTGATATTTAATTCGATACTTAATTACGTTTAACCAATTCAACCCACCAATGAAGGCTTCCAAAGCAAAATTAGACAGGTCTCAAAAAATCATCATACAAACAGACAACTCCATTATATTTAAACACTTCTGAATTCTACAACACCGTAAGAAGCAGTGCCAATTCAAGCAAAACGAAAATAATTGGAAAATATCGCTCTCCGTATAAAATTAATTTCTAGATAAATCGGGAAAATGCAACTTTGAATTGATTCAAATGAGAAATCTTGTGGGCAAATGATCAATAGAAAATATATCGAAAGATCAAGGAAATAAGCAGAAAAAGATTAATAATTAATTTTTTTCTGCAAAATTACACAAATCTTTGCTTTTCATCTATAAACCGACTGAACAATTAAACTAATAAAATAAATTGATTTGATATCGCATTTTCATTAGAAACAAATATATATAAAGGCTAGTCGTTAATTATAACCACAGCCAAAGCAGAGCTTTGCACCGCTAGGAGTAAGACATAAACATAGCATGACACAACTAGCAGACAGAAAATTAGACCAAAGCCGCAGGTAAAAAAATCAAATAAACGATCTACCCAAACTTTCATATCGTTGTCTCGAATTGTCTTGAATTAAGTTCATTTTGAGAAAAAAATCCCAAAGAAGTCAATTGAAGGTTAAATTAGTTTCAAAACAAAACATAAAAAGCATTAACGAATTTGAAACAGATGTGAAGGTGCTGCTCAACCAGCTGAGGGAAAAACTGAGTCGGCAATTGGGAGACGACAAGGTGCTGTACATAGAAGAGGGACACCTGGAAGAGGCAATTTTTGAGCGGCTGCTCTTATAAGACGCCAATGAACATATCACACCTGTTAGTGTGTTGTTCCATCAAGTTCAGTGACATTTTATTTGGCTGTTGGTAAAACATAATTGGCCCGTTTTTAGTTAAACACCAAGTTCGAAGGAAAATGTTAGAAAGCTTCTTACGATAAAGAAGTATTGTCAAATCGGAATATATGTTTGTATCTATGTAAATAATATTTCTAACAGAATCATAGAACTTGCAAAAAGTTATTTGTTTGATTACACTAGGGTCAGCTTAGTGGGTTATTAAGAACATTCTTTGTTTTCTAACCTTAGTCGCAATTATTGGTGCCTTTTTTGGGACACTTTTACAT